AAGAACCTCCTTAGTTGTGATACGAACCTCCGACATAGAGGTCCAGTAGTGAGGTGATTTAGGTGGAACGTCGTTGCCACTGTTAAGACGTGAATTGTAGGCAAAGAGAGCCGCGAACTAGTCCGTTTTCTCTTTAGCCGTATGCGCCTATGGGCCGACAGAAGTTTGTCTCTAGCGCTTTGGCGAGAGGCCAAAAAGCTCTAGTGCTGGATGGTCTGGTAGAGAGTTTTGCGCCAATATGATTATTGCGATTGAGACTAACTTTACGAAATCGAAAATGCACGGGCCATTTAACCGACAACCGATGGGGGAAGATACGAAAGAAGTCGAAATAACAACCTCGTACGGTCAAGCAAAGTGTGAACTGTTTTGTGGTAAAGTACAAAACCAGAAAAGTAATTTATAAAATCACCGTTGTATTTCAATACTTTGAATGTACATTTAAATTAAAACGGGACGGTGCGGTAGTGCAGTGGCTCCTGCACTGTGGGCCACGAGTTCGTAACCTAACCACAATTTTGAATGCTACGATTTTGAAAATTCGTGTGCAATTTTTGTTAAAACACCTCCACGTACTTTCTAACGTACAAACGTATTGTACGTTAGAAATATCTAATATGAGTTTTTCCGAAAGTGTATTCTCAAAAAAAAAAAAGTACATTTCTTTGTAATTTGTGTTCAAAATCCTCTTACGTATCGTCTAGCAACGCTGCAGCTATAAATGCAGTTGTAGCGTGAAGTGGTCGGCTTGACCACCGTTAAATAGCAGCTAAAGAATTCTGTGTTTCGTAAGGTGAGTGTATAGACCCGGAGACCCTTTTTACTGAAAACGAGGCATTTCATCTTATTCCTTAGGTGTGACGACGCATCTGCATTTTGATTCTTGATTTGGGTCTACTTGTCTGCTGTGTATCTGGACTGTGTGCTCATTTGTCACCCTATACTACAAAAAAGTAATCCTTATAGTTTCGCCGTGTCCGTCCATCCTCAGTTTATGTCAGATACCTTAGGTGCAACAAATTTATAATTTGGCATAGTAATAGATACTAATCACGTGTACAAAGTTGTGATATTAAATCTATAAAACATTTTATTTTGGATAACTCCCATACAGGTGATTTTTGACCCGTCTACTCCATCGTGTGAGGTATAGTTGGATATGTCGAACTTTGATTTAGTGGTCCATTTGCGAAGTATTTAGCTTTGAAGTGGTATTTATTATTACAATCATATACCCCCCTCTATCAAATACACGTTGAAAAAAAATGTCCTGCTGGGTTTCTTGCTGGTTCTTCTCAGGACAGAGGTTTTTTTCCGAACCTGTGGTAAATTACAAAAAAGTGACATTCAATAAGTATTATTAATAGTCTAAATTGAATAAAAAAGTTTCTGTTTCTGCTGCTTTTGAAAATGTTAGCTAACCCGCGTGCACTTGGATTAGTAAAAGTTTCGTTATAACTCTGGAAAATTACCTAAAACTGGCTGCATGACTTTGTAATGTTGTTGTAAACTATAAGAAAACGACTTATGCATTACTACTAACTATAGCTTTACGTTTTCCTTTGCGGGGTAGGCAGAGAGTTTCTACTACTAAGCAGTTAGTATTGTAGGTACACAGCATTCGTGGGTACTTTCCGTTTACGCAGGTGACCCTCAGAATACTTTCAGTGGTGGTTTACGGGAATGATCGTTACGGGTATATTATATAACTTAGGGTTGCATTGCGGACCCCCCCGAACGGATTCCCGCCTTGTCGTAGCGGGGGGGCTTAGAAGCCGTGGCTTCGTCACCCACGGCGAAACAAAGAGGAACCCATATGGCTGCTCCGAGGTGGAGGGCCGGCCCGAGGTGGCCACTCCGAGTGGGCTTGGGAAGCCCACTTCGAATGTGTGTTGGTGGACTGCGGTGAGAGGTGTGTCCTCCCCACCTACCGCTGCAGCCGAGGTGGAGTCGCGGAGGAAGAGGAGTGTTGGTATGGCGATGCGCCATTCGCCCTATCCTCCGCGACTCAAACGGGGCCGCACCGTTGATGCGGTGGTGATGGGGCTGCGGGGGGAGAGGATTGTCGGTATTGCGAGGCGCCGCTCTCCCTATCCTCCGCAGCCGAATCTTGGTTGGCGGCGGAGCCATAGACCAGATCCGCCGCTGGGGTCGGGAAAACTAGTACTTCTAAGTGCTCGTTTTTCCTGGCCCCATGGCCTTCGCGCATCGGACGCGGGGGCGTCTGTTGCGCAGATGTAATTGGAGGCCGTGGAGGAAGGCGTGCCATGTGTTCTGGTGCGCCTTACTTGGGAAGGAGAACGGAGAGGAATATTCCTCTCCCGATGAGGTGCTGCCATGGGGCGGCAGTCGCTGGTGGGGCCGCAGATGTGTGCGAAAGCGTTCCCGTAGCCCTGCCAATATGCGAAGAAGGTGGAACACCATGGGGTTTTAGTCGGTGCGAGTCCGACATAACCCGTCCTTGCCCCCGCGAGGCGGGTATGCGTAGGCATTTCCCCATGTTAAAAAAAATAAAAAATAAAAAAAAGGGTTGCATTGTGGAGAAGTAATAGATAGATATGGGACTATAACCATTTTTGTACGGACTTGGCATGTGAATAATTTTATGTAGATTGTATTATTTTATAATGATACAATCTGTATAAAATCTCACTCTTCTCAGAAATGAAGCCTCAATCTGTAGGAGAGCAAGCTCAGACCACCCAGGGCGTTAATCCTATAAAAACTAGCCCTCGCCTCCTTGTCTAGATATAGATCAAGGGAAGTACTTGCTCTAGATTTCGATTTCGAAGTACCTGAAGGTAACCCGCTTTGTTGTAAACTATAATAGAACTAATCTTAGTGATCACATTCTTTTAGCACAGAGGAGCGAGAATTATAGTTTCAACAATAAAATTTTTGAAACTTGTGTAAATTTTACCGATTTGATGTAGAATAAAATTTTCACCAATTTGATTTTAAACTGAAACTTTCACTTCACACACGATTACCTTCGCAAACTATATTACTATAATAATTGGATAAGCTTAACCAGATGTGTTCTATTACAGCCTTCAAAAGTTCACTGCTGAAAATAGACCTCCCTCATAGATTGCCTCATAAGGGCGGGGGGGGGCTTTGCCAAAGTTGCATAGTCCATAGTTAATATATGGTAGTAATTATAGTGTTATGAGTTATTCATAGATGTCTGTATTTTCAACACGAGTTTTGTAAATCGCGATATTGACATTAAAAGGATAATTAATTTAACATTGTTTTATCCAAGAGACGATATGGGGTAGTGGATATTCTTATTTCTTACACCGCTACTACACGGTTAATCAGTTAAATAGATTTTCAAACGTAGCTATTTTTCATGTATAAATATATCGTTAGTTATGTAAAGTTAACATATTTATATTATGTTAATATTATACATTTTGCATACCTATTAAGTTATTATTTGATTTTTGTTGCGGCTATACTCATACCTCTCACCACATTAACAAGTGGTTAGATGACAGAAAATGACATTTCGACATTAACCTTAGTATGGTAACACAATTTTACCATACACGAACGGTAACAGGGGTGATGTATCACCCCATCGGTTTTTAAAGTAAATATAACAAAATTTGCTTTATATATTTGTTTTATTTAGCATTAAATCAAAAAATAAACATATTTTTAATGAATTCAAAAAGTCTTAGAAAAATTTGGCTTAGAAAATTAAAAATATAAAGGATTACAAACAATTCAAACAAATTTCACTCCTGTGATTAGGGCAAACCGGCTGGTTGCATTTCACACATGTTGTTTTTACTTTTTTGTCACATTTTCGTGGACATAGTATGCATCTTGCTTGCTTCAATAATTTGCGAGGTGGTTCTCCGGAAGTAGACTCTTCTGACATATTTAGAATAGCTCGTATATTTGAAGATAATTCGCGAGGTAAATTTCCTGTTAAACGCCGCTTCATGTGGGGTTTCGCTAATTGTAAGCACAAGGTCTTCAAAAATTTACTTCGGAATAGTTTGGCAGGTACACGAGGACGTTTAGCCTCTATAAAAAGTATCATTGAATTGATGCCAGCTTGGTCTAACATACCATAAAAGAAACGGAGAGGCCAGCGTCGAGAACCTCTTGCTGTGGAGTAGCTATGCATCATTTTATCAAACGTGTCGACCCCTCCCTTTGTTTTATTGTAATCTTCGATTATGATAGGTTTGTTTGTTTGAGAATCTAGTTCGTTCCTGTGCATCGTCGACAGTAATAAAACAGACTTGTTAACTTTCGGAGTAAATGACACAAGAGTTTTTTCCCGATCGAATGCAAATTGAGAAGTCAGAGGTAACTTTGTCTTATTTGGTAAGAATGATGGAGGTATCTCACGCTTATTTTTACGGATAGTCCCAACAGAGGTGAGTCCATATTCTTTTAGTAATGTGTCAGCCAGAGGAATAGAAGTAAACCAGTTGTCGTAGGTGACATTTCGACCCGATCCTTTGACACTTTCTACCAATTTTGTTACATAATCAGCTGCAGTTTTTGCCTCCGTACCTTTACCAATATATGGAATAGCATCAAACATGTAATATGTTTTAGAGTCACAAATTGCGACTATCTTTAACCCATATTTATCGGGTTTTGATGCAATATAAACTCGAAACGGGCATTTGCCTCTGAAACCTAAAAGTTGCTCGTCTACAGTGACGTAACTGTGTGGCTCGTAGGAATCTTTACATGTTTTTATAAAAATGTTCCATATCTCACGAACTGGTGTAAATTTGTCACTTTTGTCACGACTGTCTTTATCATCGAATCTAGGGAGGCTTTCTGACATAATTGACCTATACACAGGTGTACTAAATGGAGACCACATATCAGTTACACTTTTTCGATTGTCCATGTTCACAGCACAAAAAAATAGCAGACCCAACAGCGCCTCCATTTCCATTGTATCGGTTTTCTGGTTAAAACGCTGATTTTTATAATTAGAAGCACGTCGTTCAATTTCCTGATTAGTATAAAGTATCACTAGCTCCAGACTTTGAAAACAACAACATAAAGGCTTCTTTTTCTGGTCTTGGTTGAATGTTTACAATGTTTCGCTGAGGCGTTCTGCTGGAAGAAGGTGGCATCGAAGACCAGATGTATCCGTTCTTACCTCGCAATACATTACCCGCCAGCTGAGTTAAGGGTATGTCATCTTCGTCGTTAACGGAAATCTCGTCGTGCTCTTCAGATTGCACTGAGACATTATCATCATTTTCAGAGCTACTTTCTTCCTCAAAATCAGCATCAGGCATCTCCTCTGCACCGGATATCTCCTCAGCAATATCATTCAAGAACGCTGATATTTCGTTGTTAGAAAGGCGCGCCATTTTTACCTACAATAATGAAAAATATTAAGAAATGGCACTCGAAAAAATACACTCATAAAAGGTAACAGGGGTGACGCGTCACCCCAGACATACCTGTATTTCCGTGTCCACAACCTTTCGCTGCCAATGCGCAGCGGCGACTGAGCGCGTGCATCGCGATGAAAGAATACGTGAAGCGAGAGAGCGAGAAAGCACATAATTACAAAGATATTAACACTGTTATGAACAGGTGGGGTGACGGGTCACCCCTGTTATCATACTAGGGTTAAGTTCATCTTTTACAAATTTCTTTAGTGCAGTAAAGAATTTTATAAATATTTAAGTATCATTACTGTGTCGAGTTTTCGGATCGATGGTCGATATATTTTCTTAAAAAATTTAAGTTTTGTTAATTAAATTTAAATTAATTATATTTTTCAGATTTTTAATAATTGTACGTAGTTACGTTATTTTTGTTCTTAAATTTTCTAAGAAATTCGTAAATTTACAAAAAAGTTATGTGCGTAAAGTTACGTTATAATCGTTTCCAAAACATACCCAAATTATTTAAATGATTCAATTGGAATTCCAAAATAACAAAAAGGCAGCAGTAAAACGTAACAGGAGTATGAAAGAATAATTTACTGAACTGTACTCGTAGCTGAAGCCACAATTTGAACCTGACTCTCAAAAGATTAAACAGGCCTGAAGCGGAAATGATATTGCCTCTTGTTTTTTTTTTTGTTAAAGCCCTTTATCTCGGGAAATAATTTTAGTATATAATAAATGTATCCGTAATCCGTAAGTTTTCTCAACATGGTATATTCTAAGATTAATATAAAACTTTTTTCATAGTTATTTTATCATGTGTTACCATCAAAAGTTGTTACCGGCTTAAACGAGTTTTTAGAGATTTTTGCCCGCGACTTCGTCCGCGTGGATTTCGGTTTAATTGCGTCCATGTGTGAAAAAGAGTCTGCTGGTACAAGCGGCAATTATAACTGGATTTCACAGGCAAAAAGCTAATAGACTACAAAACTTCTTTCTACACCACATTTTTTTGCTCATGCGAGCTTACGCGTGAGCAAGCCCCAACAATTCAACAATTTCTTAAAAAACTCTCTGAGAACTTCTTCAAAGCCTCAGAGTCGCACCCAAACCATTTAATTCGTGAGGCAGCTTCTTATGCAGCCCCACCCCCCCTCTCGCTATCGTGTCCGCAGGCCGAGAAACTCTCTCTCGGACCCGCCTAATAAACTTTCAAACGACCTGAATTGTCTCCTGGCAGCTCAGGCCAACTCTAATTAAATAAAATTATTGTAATATCTAACATTAACTTGCCTTCGTAGGCACTCCCTCAGCGGCACTTAGCCGCCTGCGCCCTCTGAAGCAGCAAGAAACAAGAGCAAGAAACAAGAAGCAGCCGCAAATATCATTCAGCGCCACATTGCCTTCACACGCCGTTATCGTCACGTATCCGTCGACCATTTGTGAGCCGTTCCTTCAACGCCGCAGCTCGCTTCTTCTTGCTGTTCCCGAGCTGTGTTCCACGCCGCCGCCGCTCACCGACTACGCGCGCGCATTTTTTTTTTTTGCGCCCGAAGCAATTAAAGGGCTACCCTATACGTAGGGAGGCGGAAAATGCATTACGCATACCACGATAGCCGGTCTATCGTGGTTATGAGGGGCTCACTGTCCTACCGGGGACCCTAAGTGATACCCTCTAAAAACCGCCTTTGGGGACAGGCAACCGGCTGATTAAGCTCTATTGTGCCTTATCATGAGCGACCCTCTTTTTGGGAAAAGAGGGCGCAGGCGGCTAAATGCCGCTGAGGGAGTGCCTACGAAGGCAAGTTAATGTTAGATATTACAATAATTTTATTTAATTAGAGTTGGCCTGAGCTGCCAGGAGACAATTCAGGTCGTTTGAAAGTTTATTAGGCGGGTCCGAGAAGAGAGAGTTTCTCGGCCTGCGGACACGATAGCGAGAGGGGGGTGGGGCTGCATAAGAAGCTGCCTCACGAATTAAATGGTTTGGGTGCGACTCTGAGGCTTTGAAGAAGTTCTCAGAGAGTTTTTTAAGAAATTGTTGAATTGTTGGGAGCTCTAAGTCCCGATGAAGGTCGGCATTGCGGACGTACCACGGTGCGTTCGCAGCTCGACGACAGAAGAGGTTCTGAACTATTTGGAGTTCATTTAAAATGTTAGGGTTTGCGTGGGCAAAGACGGGGCCCGCGTAGGAGCGCGCGCGCACCGATCTGCATGACTTTTATAGCCCGGTTCAGCGACGTAGCTTCGTGAACATAACACGAGTTTCACGCCGGGAAACGAAACGTACATAATAGTTGTATATTTTGATTAATTTTCATTGGTCATAATGTAAGAATTATAATTGGCTAGGGAAAATAAAAATTGTTATCATTGGTAAACCAACACCGCAGCTAGCCATATAAATATAGGCAAGGTTAACGAAAATATATTCCATTCCATTCCATATTCATACTCCAAACGGCTTTACATAAACAGTAGTTTCATTTCTCCACCTTAAACCACTCGGAGTCTGTTATTAGTGGACCGCTCAATCCACTATTACAGTGGTGACCCGTACGAACACCGCGTAAGAAGCCCGTGGCGAACACCGAGGAGGAAGATCCCGGTACGAGCACCAAGAAGGAACACCCTGCGACGTACCACCATTATAGTGTAATAATACGAACACCGAGAAGGTAGACTTCAGTATATATGAAATCAGTGTAATCAAGCCGTCATTATGGAGCAAGAGGCGAACACATATACATCAATTTTAGAAGAAATTCGGAAGCTATCATTCGAAGTCGCCGCGCTCAAAGCTTCCCAGCATCACACCTTTTACCAGCAACAATACAACCAGCGCAATCAGCAACACCGAAGATCACCTTTTCGTCGCAACCGCTCTGCAAGTAGAAGTCGAACAAGCTCAAGAACAAGATCCCCTTACTGCTACTATCATCGACGTTTCGGGTTTGAGGCAAGAAAATGCACAGTACCGTGTACATTCAAAAATGAAAATACGAATACGGAAAACTAACTTATATGCTCGATGCGACGGGATCCAGCGTAACAGCAAAGTCCTACCGTCTTTTCGTCACCGATAAAAAAGCAAGCTTACTTCTCAGTGTTACCGCGGAAACAAAGACAGAAGTTAAAGCCACTGGATTTTGAACTTTATGCAGCAAACAATACGATGATTCCTACATATGGAGAAAAAACAATGGAACTTGATTTAAACCTACGCCGACCATTCAAATGGAGATTTATCGTTGCTAAAGTCAGCAAACCAATCATCGGTGCTAATTTTCTTCAACATCACCAGTTGATCGTCGACATCAAAAATAGAAGAATCATCGACGGGAAAACCAATCTTGCATCTCAGTCTTTTGTCCAAGCAACCAATCTGCCCACAATAAGAAGCATAGATGTTCAACAACCGTATCACAAGATCCTCGAAGAATACCCTGGTATCACAAGAATAACTTCAATGAAATTAACACCGAAGAATGACGCTGAGCATTTCATCGAAACCAATGGACCACCACTTCATTGCCGTGCACGTCCAATCGCACCACACCTATACGAGCAAGTTCGAAAGGAATCCGAAAACATGATTGAGCAAGGAATATGCCGTCCAAGCAAAAGCCCTTGGTCATCACCACTTCACATTGTACCGAAGAAGAACGGAGAATTACGAGTTTGTGGAGATTACTGAAGACTGAATTCTATTACCACTCCTGACCGCTACCCAATACCGCGAGTCAGGGATTTCACTCATCAACTATCAGACAAGACTACATTCTCCACCATCGATCTAAACCGAGCTTACCAACAAATAAAAATACGCGATGAAGCCATAGAGAAGACAGCAATAATTACCCCAATGGGATTATTCGAATTCCCAAGAATGATCCCGGGATTAAAGAACGGAGGTCAAACTTTCCAAAGATTCATACACGAAGTACTTCATGGACTGGATTTCATTTTCGCATTTATTGATGATCTCCTTATTGCAAACCCTGATAAAGAAACGCACGAAACCCATCTACGCACCGTGCTACAGCGATTAGAAGACAACGGAATCACAATCAACCCTTCGAAATGCATATTTGGACAGCAAGAAGTTCAATTTCTTGGTTTCACCGTCAACAAGGAAGCAATCAAACCGCCTGCCGAAAAAGTCAGAGCAGTCATCGACTATGCGAAACCTAAAACTATAGAAGAGCTAAGGCGTTTTCTTCGGATGATAAATTATTACAGAGAACACATACCTAAAGCCGCTGAAATCCAAGCACCACTTCACGCCTACCTGCACAACACGAAGAAAAAAGATAAAACGTCAATCGAATGGAACGATGAAGCCACGAAGGCATTTGAAGCTTGTAAAGTTGCGATCCAAAATGGAGCATTACTCGTTCACCCATCACATGAAGCAACCCTTGCTATCTTCAGTGACGCATCCGATCTCTCAGCAGGAGCCGTTCTCCAACAATACAGCAATAGGAAATGGCAACCACTTGGCTATTTTTCCATGAAGTTCTCCGATACTCAACGTAACTACAGTACATTCGACCGAGAGCTACTCGCTATTTACATGGCTATCAAGCACTTCAGAAAAACGTTCGAGGGTCGAAACCGGATCGTTTTTACCGACCACAAGCCATTAAGATATGTACTTCCAAAGAAACTTGGAAACACCACGAAGAGCAAGACAACTTATTTTCATAAGTAAATTCACGACCGACATACGTCACATCAGTGGAAAGGACAACATAGTCGCCGACGCACTCAGTCGCGTACCAATTGACAGTGTAACGTGCCCTATATCAATCGACTATCATAAGATCGCCGCAGCACAAGACAGAGATAGTGACAACATAAAACATCTATCGAAGCAAGGTAGCTTGTCCATCAAGCAAGTTACAATGCCAATGACGCATCTATCTATATACTGTGAAGCCTCAACGACAACCATGCGACCATACCTACCA